TCAGTACTGAAAAGAATGGAAACAACGGAAGATGGTGATACCCCTCAATATCTTTTGGACAAGTTCACAAAGTAAAGAAAACACTGTATAAAAGAATAACAGGTACTGTCTGGTCAGATGTCAGAGTGAAAAAGAAAGCAGAAACTGGGTCAAAGAGAAACAAAAGGGACGTGCATGCACACTCCCCTGACTGAAACAAGGAAAACTACAGCAGTCACTTGATGTTTTTCTTCGATCTTACTATCTTACTACTTTACTAGTGTGACTGTTTGCCCTGAGGGAAAATTCTGAAAAAGGACTGATACTTGAAGGTTTACTTTATTTCTTCAGTTGATGAATGCAGAGTTTATAATGGTCACTGCTTTCCCATATAATTAAGACTGCACATGCTTGCAAGCCATGCATTAAAGTTTGTCATCATAATTTGTTAATAGCAGCACAACATTAAAACAATCAGTAATGTGAGGTCATTACATCAAATAAAGTGGGTTCAAGAAGAATAAATCTTGTTCTGAGCAGTTATGCAGTTAATGATTTTGGAGCAGTACCTGTAGCAAGTGACTCAGTTTCTTTCAAAGCTCAGTTTTGCCTCAAAACATGAACAGAAAAGAAGCTACTTAAAAGCATATTAAGGTACCAGTGCAAGAGATACAGTGGAATAATAGGTTGGCAGAGAGGGGTGCCAAAAATGTGCAGCAGACACCAAAATCTAAATTCACTCCCAGATACCAAGAGAGTGATACAAATAATGTTGTTTGACAGCAAATTGCAAAATTCAAAACAACCAAAATCATATTTTTCCTGCTCAAGGTACACAGCTCAAAAACATCCTTTCAAGTTGACTATTAACATGAAACATCTCCCGAAAGCCCAAATCAAACACAAACGAAAGTCCTTTGAACACTGAGTGACCACTTTACAGACAAGCTATTTTGTCTAGGGAAACATGAGTGAAGAGCATAAGATAAGAGAAAAAATAAGTCTAACTTGCTGCTTTGTTATTGTACACTACATTTTGTATGTTGCTGGGAATGTAGCACTCCTGGAATACACTTGGGATAAAAGTATATCAGAAATGCATAGCAAAGAGAAAACATCTTGGGGACAAGCCATATATAAACTGTCACAGATTCATTAACATTAGCCCCATAAAGCAACAACATTTCTATTCTGCCCTGAAGTAAGGTAACAGAACAAAGACTACAGTCCCATCCACCATTCTCACCAACCCACCCAACCCAATTTAAGGATGCTCTGTTACGATGATACCACAGTGGTGCTTGCTCATTTGGATGCTGCGGAGAAATCCAGAAAGGGCAAAAATATCTAAAATACTGGCAGGATTGACACATGATAAGAGGTGGCAAAAATTAGGATTCAGTTATAATGAAAATCAGGAATATGATTTCACACACTTGGACAATTTAGGCAGAAAAGACAAAGTTTTGAGTTATTCAAGGTACGAAAAAGTCTTAATAAAAAGCAACTGGTCCCTTATGTTTGCCTCATCACAGTCCTGTCATGAAGGCAATTAGAGTGGTACACTCACAACAAGTGAAAGGCAAATACTCCTATGTGTATTAGACTGTCATCGTTCAGAGAGATGGCATATTGAGGGTAAGATAACAACGATTATCTAGTAACATAGGAACTCTTACTATTTAAATGCATCTCTCTGAAGTCTGCAGGCCTGCGGGCCCTGAGGCAGGACAGGAGCATTATATAAGTGATGTGCAGGAGAAACGACAAGGGAGAAGGGCTACTCAAACAATTCTAATTTAAAATAGACCTACCAATGAAAGCTAAGCGTAGGCACTTCAAGTATATTTAAGTGTCCAGCTCAGCTGAAAACTGTTCAGCTGCAACTGAATTCCTCTGTGAGGTAGGCACCCAAAACCTTTGAGAATTTATATCTTAGTTACCAGTTCTGTTGCTGATATTCAGGGCTGAAACAGAGTCTACTTGAGTCTGCACAAGCTATACTTGCTCCGCAGCAATAACAGCAAGTAAAAATGATGCTCCGAATTCTCTAGGTTCTGAAAACAGCAGGCAGCATCAAGGTGGATTTATCTAATATTTAGAATTTACACCAGTTTTCATTTTCAGAGTAGCAAAGCTAAGTAGCCCACATGCTTTTGTTAAAGAGAGAACGAAACAACAATTTAAAGTCACATACAGCCCCAAAACTGGTTAAAAGTTTCTATTTCTCAGTTCTGTCTTTGAATCAGCGGGTCAAATTTCCTAGATAAAGTAAGAAACATTCTTAACATCCTCTTGCTTTTGTGATTCCATGTTTCATTCCTAGCATGTGGTGCTCAGTATTTGTCACAACCCTGTAAATGCAATTCAGTGCAGTATTTATTATCAGGAGATCCATCACAGTGGTGTTAGCAGGATGAGGCAATTCTAAACGGGACACCAGAGCTCAGCAAGGACATATAGCATGTTGTTTGACAGCAGTCACTTGCAAAATGATGTTATCAATCTGCTTCTGGTTTTGGTTTTTTTTTTTTTTTTTTTTTTTAATTTAAAAAAAGATCTAGTCCCTACTATCTCTACTTTTCTCCTTTTCCATTCAACTCACTCATTTTTCCTAGTTTTTTATGGATCTCAAATAAATGCAGTTCTTTTTGTTTATTTTTTGTACACATTAATAATGAAAACGTTCTTCTAGGCATAACTTTTATGAGGTATCTTGAATCGGTAGGCCTGAAGGAATAACTTCTCCTCCCCTCCTGCATCTCTCAGTCATCCACTCTTATTTAAACTGTGGCACAGCTCACCATAACAAGATTTCTTTAGTCAAGCAGCCACTAATTTCTGTTTCTCCTCCAATGAAAGCACTGTCTATTGAGGGCATTCATATGTGGTCATAGAGAGTTTTCAAGTAAGTCGTTTCATTATTATTTAAAAGATTTCTTTCCAATTGCCACTCTACCACTAAAAAAGCAAGCTGGGAACCTGCAATTAATTAATACATGCTTAACTTTAAAACCTGAATAGTCCTGCTAAAGACTGCAGAACTACAGGCACACATAAAGTCAAGCATATGCTTCAGTATCTGCAGCATCGAGGCATACATTAATGCACAAAGGGTGCCCCTCACATGAGGTAGGATTTGGCATGTAGGCTCTTTTTTCAACCATTTGAACCATTTTCCTTCAACACTTTCTGCCTTCACTTCCAGCAGTATTTCATTGCCAGTTTTTAGCACCTAACCAAAGATGCACTCAGTCTCGTAGGTGTGTCAGCTTACTGAGAAAGGTGCTGAAAGCCAGAGACATTACTACCAGGATCCCACCTCAGCAAAAAGCAAACAAAAATAAATCGTGTAGACAATAATCGAGTCCTGATAAGCAGGCAGCTGAACGCGGCCTATAGAAATGGCAGCTTCAGAAATAGGCCCTGCTGCTTTCCTCTCCCCAGCGCGGCGATGGGCACAGCTGTGTGAGGCTCCATGATGAAACCTAACTGAACACACACAACCCCAGGTCCTCTCGGCCTCCCTTCCCACCCTACCCAATTAAAAAAGAAACCAGGGATGAAAACGTCGGTTTGGAAGTGACAACGTCACACAAAAGCACCGGAGACGGCGACTGTTGTCTGCTGGCCACGACAAGAAGAAAATCCTGAGGGGTTTCCTGAATTCACCCCCTTCCTTATTTGTTTCGCAGAAAGCAGCCGGCACGGCCGGGCCGGGTAAGGGCTGCCCTCACGCCCGGCGCGGGGCACCGGGGCCTACCAGGAAGGCACGTTACCGGCGGTGACAGCCCGGAGGCTGCTCCCGCTGGCCGAAGGGGCTGTGCTGGGGCCGCCCGGGCCCGCCGCG